GAAAGCTGTCAAGGTGTTCAGATACATTCAAACATCTTCCCACTATCTAAGCCCACTTCTTAAATGTTCAATAGAACTATTTCAAGAATTGGGTCTAGATAAAAGAGTACCGTGGTATCCTGTAAGGAGGTACCTCATGACTTTTCCAATGGGAGTTGTTCAGAATTTATCCGGGCATAATGCTATTGTTAACTCACTGGTTTGCAACGAAGACGGCGTTCTTGTATCTGGCGGTGATAATGGTTCAATATGTTTCTGGGATTGGCGTTCAGGTTTTTGCTTTCAGGTTTGTGTACCCTTTTGGTAATTGAGCATTTGCTGACTCCAGTAGTTGATGGATCCACGCTAATGACGTTTCAGAAAATACAAACAAAGCCTCAACCTGGGTCAATTGATTCCGAAGCTGGTATATATGCCATGTGTTACGATAAAACAGGCTTACGTCTTATAACAGGAGAGGCCGACAAAACTATCAAAATGTACAAAGAAGATGAGGAAGCGGTGAGTGTCTGAATATTTTATCTTGTCTCTTTGGATATTCTCTCAAGCAAATTCTGTAAGAAGCTTTCTTACTTTGGTTTGTTATCAGTACAACTATTAATTGTACCAGTTGTTTGGTGGAAGTTGATAATACTAGGTTATCTATATTTGAATCATTTCAGACTGAGGAGACACATCCCATCGTATGGCGGCCAGAAATTGTGAAAAGGAAAGCCTACTAAGCTATTTGTATTTGTTTGGCTTTGATTTTATTTGTTGATTTTTCGGCTATTAACGTATCACATCTTCAAGTCAAGCGCTCATCTAAACAACGTCAATAAATTTATTAATCTCTTCGCGTTCATTTTTTGCTTTGTGCTCGGTTATATCCGAATTATTTGTTAGTTGTTTCTTCCGCCGTAATACGGTCTGCTACATAAACGTTGCGGTCAATTCCACCATCGGATGTAAAGAGACTAGTCACCATACCTCTATGCCGCTGCTCATGTTTTTTAAACCGAATAGTTTTTGAATTTTCTGTTTATAGATGGCCAACCGTACGGCTAAGGATGCGCACACAGTTCGAGGTTTGTTTATTGTTTTCTTTAGAACAAATTCATATGAATACATCTTAGGCACCAATCCTCAGTTTCTGATAGAGAAGATTATTCGACAACGCATCTACGACAGCAAGTATTGGAAAGAGTTCTGCTTTGCCCTTAGCGGTACGTTTACAATTGCTGTTGACTGTTGTTTCTTAAATTTGTTTTTTGTTTATTTACCATGAACATAACTGCACTAAGCAGAGGCTGGATTAGAGAATCATTGTATGTATTCACTGCACTTTATACAAAAAATAACCACACGTCTACCACATATGTTTTGAAGTTATTTGAATAGATCTAGTTAACAATTAATCTTTATTGGAGAAGACATTCATACAAAGTAAGAGCATTGCGCATCCTTGCATGCTTGGAAATAAGTTGATCACACTTATTCGCACAATGAAGCCTCGCATTACAGTTTTAATTATAATAATAAAGACGCATGTATGAATGTGCATTGTATTCATCATAAGATGCTTTTGAA